TTCAGAACAAGTAACAAAAGGCTCGATGAATCAAAACAGCACTCCGGAAGGGCATTTATTGGCAAAAGAAGCGGTGCACATGGACTAGGAGTACCAACAGAAGAAATCTAACAAAGGACACAATGAAAAGACAGAATTCAATCAAAGAGGACTCTGGCGTGAAAGAACGACACTCAAGGACAATCATATCCAAGAGAATATTCCACAAGCAACAATACAACCCGTGAAGACATACATTGAATTCTCCAACAACCAGAATGACAACAGCAATAAGTAACCGAACAAACAACTCGGAGACGTATGAAGGATCATATACAAAATTACAATGTCAAAGGATTATAGTCGAAAAAGAACTCGGACAGAGAAAAATTATACATCTCATTGATCGAAGACAAATACAAAGGTTACAGACGGCCAAATAGGATCGGATAAACTCAGACATAAGATAGAGACAAGATTCTTAAATATTGCAACAAGGAACCCAGTGACGGCAGCAGCAGCAGCCCGGACATAGAAGAACAGATAGAGCAGCATGTTCATTACCAAGCAAGCATAAACCCAGGGGCTGCTCAACCTCACACACCAGCATATCTACGAATGAAGAAAGAATTGAAGAAGAAATTTCCTACTCAAGGAAGAACCACAACCAACAAAGAATGTATTTATAGCAAACCAGAGGTAAACAAGGCTAAAGATCACAAGAAAGAAAGAGGAAAAGAACAAAAGAGCAAAGCAACAAAGGCGAATAGTACCCAAAAGCAAGATTCCTAACAAAAAGTAAAAGAAGACGCTCACTCATGGCTATACAAGACCCATCTGTGACCAGCAAAAGACAAAGATCAAAGGAGTACAAATCAAGACCCTTCTTCCGGCTTCTTTTCAACAGAAAAGAACCCGGAGAAGGCTCGGGGGCTGCAAGTACCTACCACAAAAAACATATTTTCAAATTTTTTGACCCTCCAGTTTTTTTACCAAAAAACAGAAGGCTCGGGGGCTACACTCGCACTCGCTGCACTCAAAAGAAAAAGAACCCGGAGGACATCAAGCAAAAGTGCATATCAGCCAAAAGAAGAATCAAAGAAGACCATCTCAAGATTTCACTTGAAGAAGGACCCGGATCAAGACTACAACAACTCGGCCCTTGAAGCTCAATCATGAAATGCTCGGGGGCTTGTCGATGGGGAACCCTATGGGCCCCCCATGGACCATACTGCAAGGAGGTAGACCTTGGTAACAAGGCCTACAGCCCAATCGCCAAGAAGAACGCGGAGCAAAGCAACGTGCAAAACCGAAACTCCAACGCAAACTATACAAGGAAAGGCACCCGAAGCGTAGCTTAGGACTCTGACCTTATATCTGAATAGAACACAAACAACGCCTCTCAGCGCCTGGACTATAAAGGGCTGGTGAGGGTACCCATTGTAAAGAGAGAACGCATACCCGATACTCAAAGCAATACAACGCAAACAGGCTAACGCCAAAACTGGACGTAAGGTTATTACTCGACCAAGTCGAGGGCCTGAACCAGTATAAATCATGAGTCTCTTTGCGTAATCGCCGAATTCTGCTATTCGCCGAAGCCCGAACAACTGTCCCAGGTACCCCCGTGGCAGGCTATCGATGGTAAAACATCATCAGTGAGCCAGGGAGGGATGCCGGATCCACGCCGGGAAGGGGCCTCGTCCGAGCGACGGACCGGGGAGAGAAGCCGCATGAGAGGGCTCGCCTGCCTACACTGGATCTGCGCCGGGAAGGGCTCGCCTGCCTGCGTCGGGAGGGGCTTCGCCAGATCCACGCCGGGGAGGGACTTCGCTAGATCCCGCGCCGGGGAGGCCTCACCTGTCTACATCGGGGAAGAGAAGCCAGGGACGCCGCCGTTGCCACCCGAACTCGCTGTCGCGAGCAGATAGCAGCGAAGAGAACGAGCGGATAAGAATGAAGAGAAAGGGGCATTTTAGTCATTTTGCATTTGATTTTATGTGTTTTATTTTTTTAAATCGTTTAATCAGCCCCTAAATAACAGACATCCAAACCAGGGGTAAACGCCTCATTCGTTTCAAAATAACAGGGGTAAAATCACAAAGTAGAAAAAATAAGGGTAAAATCACAATTGAGCTTCCGGACAGGGGCAACAACATCGTTTTCCCTAAAATATTTGTAGTATTTCTATCACCAAATAAGTTTATTATAAAAATATATTCAGTGCTCTATCTAACAATACTAATTATGCATCATAAATATTAATGTTTTCTTATATATATTTGGTAAAAAATAAAAAATATTTGACTTCTCGGGAAGCGAGAATAACACTTTTTATGAGATTGAGGGAGTAATTGATTAATTTTTAGTCCACTGGCTATGGATTAGTTGTTAGTCCATTAGTCCATATATATAGGAGTTAATAGGACAACTCCCTCCGTTCTTTTTTTACATGTCATATGAGCTTTGCCCTAAGTTAAACATTATTATCTTTGATCGGCCATTTTAAAAAAATTATAGTTTCAGAACATATAAATTCTATATTATGAAAGTATTTCTCATAGTAATCTAAAAACATAAATCTTATAGCATGGTTCTATATAATTTTTTGGAGAAAGATACAAATATTTGACTTAGGGCAAAGCTAAAACTTTAAAATAGAGAGAGTAGTTATTAGTCCTAGTCCATTCCAAACTATAGACAAAATAAATAAAAAAATATGGACTCCGTGCTGTGCCCGCAAGGGAACATTAATTCTAAATTGATAGTCATTCTGGATTTTCTAGGTCTCTTTGTTTCAAATTATGCAATGAGATCATCTGAAGTCGGACATCGACTTGTCTCCGCAGTCAATCATCTGAGCCGTCTATTTCGGAACCAACCATGACTTCTGTGGAATTCTAGAAGCCAGCTATTCTCATAGGCCAACAGCTGGCCCATCAGCCCAAGGACGCGCCGTCGTTGTTGCAGATCGCCGGATGGGCACTCTCATCCCCGGCAAGCTGCCACGCGATGCTCAGTAACAGAGATGGGAGGAAAAGCTCTCCCGTGAGCGTTCGCGGGGGACGGGTATGGGGAGCTATCCCCGTATGGGAATTCTCCATTGACATCCTTAACCAAGAACCCTAATTTTGTGTTTGCATAATCATCTCTTGGACCGTTGTTTACTTGTTCACTTATTCTTGCACGTTCTTCAATTTATTTGTAGATTTATAAAATTGTCTTTGGCACGATAAGAACAACATCAAATTGGAGCTCATGTAACTGTCGTTATGGTCTTACTACGTATTCCGTACGGAGTACCTCGTACCAACTGCTGGAGTAGTAGTACTAACAAAGGCAATACACGAACCAAATGATCCTAACCTTTGTCTGAAAGCAAGCTTCCACGCTGGACTCGCCTTTCACTGCATTTGATTCGTGTCTGAACCCAAGACGACGGCACGTCGCGTCATATGATCAGAGATGGTTGAGCAAGTCCTGTCAAGGGCTTGTTTAGTTTCCTCATTTTACATATTTTGGCACTACGCGAAAAGAAGAATCCCTATCACATCAAATTTATGGTATATGTATGAAGTACTAAATGTTGACGAAATCAAAAACTAATTGCACAGTTTAATTGTATTTTGCGAGACGAACGTTTTGAGTCTAATTAATCAACGATGGGATAATTATTACCAAATAAAAACAAAACGCTACAGTGCGCAACAGTGTCGTTACAGTACCTTGGATTCCGGCGGCGCCGAATCCGGGGCCGAACTAAACGCGGCCCAAATGATGATCATGGGCTAGGCGCTCAGCGCGGGGGCCACTCACGTGACCAAAGCCGGAGCCCGGAGCTGCCATCAATCGCATCGTACTCCAGCGCAGTGAAAGGGAGCAGGGCACCCGGAGCAGGGAGGCGACGGCGGAACTGCCGCCGATGCGCCGACAGGCTCTCTCTCTCAAGTCCCAATTGACGGCCGGGACGTCGGGACGGACGACGGCGGCAGGTTGTGGGGTTGGCTAATCGCCTGGCTGTCCAGACTGAAGTCCAGGACGACAACTGCTGCTTCTGCTCCTGTTGCGTTTGACCGTAATACGGCCGTTGCTTTGACAAGGAAGAGTGTGCGCTCCTCGTCCTCTGGATGGTGGATGCCATGGCTGCGGCTGCTCACGGGCTGGCGTGTCGTGATCACGTGCACATGGTAATGGTATGGCTGCACTACACACACATTATGGACTATGGTGTACCCCTGTATCCTGATGCTTCTTTGTGTATCGTGTACTGCACTGCTACACCGTAACTCCGTAAGATGTACTAGCTGTGGCCTGTGGACCTTTGGGAAGGCGATTAGGACACGGCGAATCAATTGTGGGCTCAACAACGTTAGCCCTGAAGTGAGAACTTCATTTCACCTACTCTTCAATTAGTTCTGCTAAAAAAAACTACTCTTCAATTGACAAATCGACTGGGGCTTTCAGTAAAACTTGCCAAAAGGCAATGGTCCTGGGCCTGCTATTACTGGGCCTCCTGGCGAATCAATGGAAGCCCAGTCTGATTCTTTCATTGCAAAACCAGCCCAACTGAGGTCGGAAAGCAAAACAAACAAGGGCAAACAAAAGCTCTCAACAAAATGAACCTCATCCGTGTTTCTGCTACGACTAAAAAGAACAAAGCGTAGATATTTTTTTGTGCGACATTTGTTTTGGTTCGTCCGTCTACCCATATCTACGATCCCGCGGTGCCAGCGGGTGGGACCTCCTCCAAGCTTGTGATCCCGTGAGCCCCCCAACCCTCGCCCCGACGCCTCTCCGGCCGCGCGCCCCCCCTCCTGGTGCCCTTACCCGCGATCGCCCCCCACGCTACTCCTCGGCCTTTGTGTGACCCTAGCCGTCGCCGGTTGACGCGAAGCCGCTGCAGGCGCACTGCCTCCAGGCGTTGGGAGGCCACGGCGGACGGGGGCACATCGCCCTGCGCCTCACGTCGGCAACGTCCCCCTACGCCTCACGTCGGCTGCCGCTGCCTGGATCCTTCACCGATGGCTGAATCCGGCCTGGCCGCCTCCATCTCTTGCCCACCGTCGACCTCGCAGGGGAGGCGTGCCAACGCCCCGCGACTGGATCAGGCGGAGTCGCGTGGGTCCTCCACCGTCATCGACATCGGCAAGGTGTGAGAGGAGAAGGGTGCCGTCCGACGCGAGCTCGGTTGCGCCACGGGGGATTGGGGTGGCGCTAGCTCACGGCACCCAGAGCAAGCACAAGGTCCTTGGCCTTCTTAATCAACGGCGAGGTCCCGTGGGTCCATGATGCTCATCTCCTCTGCCTGCTGAAGTGGAGATCCACCAGTCCGGATATGGGTTTCTTTCATCTTCACTGGTGAGCAATCCATCCACCAAGTCTGAATATTTCTCTCTTCCATATGTTCAATTTCTGGCTGATTTTTGTGTGCTGTTAGATTAGATGCCCTACTAATCCATCAATCTGACTATTCAATGCTAGAATCTGCTATTGCCAAACCACGATCTGGTGTCGCTGCTGTGCAAACGAGATCTATGGACCCGTCCAAGATCTGTCTTCCTACAACTACTGAACTACGGCAACGGGGAAGGAGGTCTGGAAGCAGAAACAAGAGCGTGCTCATCCAGCCTTGTTTGTTGGTTGTTAGCAGTTGCAGCGTGCTTAATTATTTCCTTTGGGTGCTGAGTGCTGACGGTGCACTAGAGTCTGTGTGCGTATAGAAGTTGTAGTTGATGCTAGCAGCGTGCATTAGATATCTAATATGGAGCAAGAGCAAGTAAGATATGCTACAGTGCTACTATAGTGATAATGCGCTACTAGAGTGTGTTCTTCACTTGATTAAACTGCTAATCTCTAGCTAGGCGCACATAAAAGTGATATCCAATTTCATTAGTAAAAAAAAGGTTATGGTATTAATCACAATATATCTAAAATCTGCAAGTATGTTTGTACCTTTGTTATTACTTGCTACATTGCTAGATGGTGTACAGCTATACGAGTTGGAGAGAATCTAGAATGCAAGCTCAACCGTTTATGTAATGCTGAATTTGTAGACTAAGATGATACATCACATATGTATATGGAATCATTTGTGTGGTTTATTTGTTGCTTCATATCATCTTAATGATATTTATCGTGGTCGTTGCCTGTATATTGCATAGTAAGATGTTGTCTTTAAGTCATCTGCAATGTAGTATTTTATAGCGAAAACTTGTCATTTCTTTTCATAGAGTATGATGCCTGTGGTTCTAAATTGTTCTATAAATTTTTTGTCCAGAACAGTGAAGCTCGACAGCCATGCATTGTCCAGATAAGTCTCTACCATCAAGCCGAATTAATCCCTACAGGATGATTATCGTTATCTGGTTGGTGGTTTTTGTGTTCTTTCACTACTGGGTGATGCACCTGTTGAACAATACTAGCCAATTTGGAAAAACCTAAGCCTGCCCATGGTAAGATATTTAAAACACAAGGTACATATTTGGCAATTGAATTTGTGTGGAATCGATTAATACGATGACTTTGATATGAAATTGGCATGTTATTTTTTAATTTCTATTTACAAATATTTTTTTTATAAACATGTACATGTCTGATGTAATCCAAAAGTTGCTAATAAACAAACATTAAATATTAAATTTTTATCTCTGTCTGATTCTTTGGTCTCAATTTCTTTTCAGAGTTGTCCTACATATGATGATCTGTTCAAGGCGAATGGACAACCCTCGTTCGTAGCCTATCTATACAGTCGTTCATAGGATGTCAGATTTTAAATAACTTGTTAGTTTTCTGTGAACTGACAATGTATTTTCAAATTATTGCAGCTCTCTGATGTTTCTGAAAGCTGACATGAAAAGAATGGATCTTAACGGTAGTGGAAAACTTAAAGCCAATAACAAGGCAACTGGCAACCAGTTATCAAGACAACCAGTTATCAGTATCGGCGGGTGGCCCTCGGTCAAGGGAGGGAGGAGGCCGGCAATGGGCTTGGCCCACATGCGGAGAGGTACACGGGAGATGTGGGAGCAGGGCCACGGGTTAGCTTCGGTCCAAGAGGAGGTTGAGGCTTGGGCTAGCATCAGGAGCAAATTTAGCCTAAGAGTTGTTAGGCTTGAGCTAGCATTAGAAAGAGATTTAGCCCACAAGTGCGTAGAAAAATACTATTTTTTATTTTTATCGAAGCGTTAGCACAACGAAGTTATCTTATACATGAATCATATATGATGCAATTCTTGTCTGAATCATATGTAATGCCATCTATTAATTCCAACTGGTAATTCGAGGTTATATTACATCTGAATCATGTCATGCCCATTCATTCAAAAAATAAATGAAGAAAATTCCATCTGTGCTCGAAGCCCCATATGACAATATTAAGCTGCATCCTATCTGAGTATACTGGGTTACAAGGTGCCCATTATGTCAGCATGAGTTCCGATCTATTGTTTTGGTTTGTTTGCAAGGTCATTGAGCTGTGAACACAAATATGGTTAAAGTGATTGCCTGTAGTTATGTGTCTTAATAAGTCAGTTTAGTGTCCTAATAAGTTCTCTTTCCATTTAACGATTCACTTGCACTGTATAATGTTTTATCCTGTATAATCAATCACCGCAGTTTTCAAAGCAGTGCCCAACAAACCAAACATCTTGATTGCCTGTGTGCACAAGTGCCATCAGAGTCATGCATAAGTAGCTATGTTTTTTCTCTTATGATCATATTTTTCAGCTGCCGACATGGAACCTTACTGAAGTGCAAAAAAAGAAGAATACGTTTTATCTTGAATTATTGCATGTCATACATGCTGAATCCCTAGACTGGATAATTTGTTTGCCTATGGTTGTATGCGCTTGCAGGTCATGGTTGCCACGTGGTGTTGTCAGCATAACCGCACTGTTTTCCATGCAGAACATGTTGGAGCTATGGGCCTTGCTGATCTATTTTTTTATTAGCTGCACTTGCCAGCAAAGTGAAAGAAAACCTGTTTCTAAAGTCTGTATATACATGTGTCTCAAACTTTTTTTTTTAGAATCAGGAGGAGCCTGTGGCTCTACTGCAATTATTATTTTTTGCCAGTTTTAACAGAGACTATCTATATTTTCTCCCTTAATGTATATTTGTTAGTTTGGAAGGTAACCTTTTTTTTGACATATTACCATTTGCAGGGCCTTAGAGCAGTAGCTATTAAACTCATACAGTTTATTCAAACATACGGTGTATCATGTGGCCATTTAAATAGACCATTTCGTTCAATACTGTTGATCAGCATGTAGTTTAATTTCAGACAAGCACAACCACTAGCGGCTCAGCAAAACTGCTTTAGTTTGTTTTAGTTCTTAAGACAGTTCAATTTTCAATTCTATTTTTTTTCTAAGTTGTTGGAGCTATGGACCTTGCGGACGTAATTTGTCTATTGCATATGAACTTTGGTGGATGTAATTTGTAATCCATTTATTTAGGTATTGTTATGAGTAGGGGTGAAAACGGTACGGATATTTTTCGACCGTATCCGAGACCGAATTCGTTTCGAGGGTGAATCCGGATATTCAACATTGGTATTTGTATTATAAATGTTAGGACTTTTCGTAGAACTTTGTTTAAAGTAGAAATCGGTTGACTCCTTGGGAAGCGAGAATTACATTATTTTTCGGACGAAGGGAGTATATTTCAGTAATTTGCAGGTTTGAGTCTTGTTTAGTTACCTACGCGCCATAGCTTGTCAGTTGTCACGCCTCACCTTTGCCCTCTTACCGGAACTATAGCGCGCTGAAAAAAGTTCGGCGTCCCTCCGGTGCTTATTTACAGCATTTCTTGCAAAAAGTTCGGCACATCATTTTTCAAACGTAATTTGTTGCACCTGCAACTCGGGAGAATCGAATATGCGGTACGGCTGTGGTCAGGATCCAAAAAAAGCCTTGATGTGGGCTCAAGCAATTGTGCACTTGTGCAAGTGTAGCTCAGTTGATGTGGGCTCAAGCAAGCAGAAATATATGTTGCCCAGTTGTAGCTTAGGAGGCCCTCCGAATTTTTAGTTTAAATGATTGTTTGCATGTATAGGACTAACAATTACTCCCTTAGTCCCCATAGAAAGAGTTATTATAGGACTCGTATTGGTCAAACTTTCTTTAATTTAACTAGGTTTATATAAAATATTTGCAGTATTTCTATCAAAAAATAAGTTTATTATAAAAATATATTCAGTGCTCTATCTAACAATACTAATTATACATCATAACTATTAATGTTTTCTTATATATATTTGGTAAAAATTAAAAAATATTTGACTTCTCGGGAAGCGAGAATAACACTTTTTATGGGATTGAGGGAGTAATTGATTAATTTTTAGTCCACTGGCTATGGATTAGTTGTTAGTCCATTAGTCCATATATATATGAGTTAATAGGACAACTCCCTCCGTTCTTTTTTTACATGTCACATTAACTTTGCCCTAAGTCAAACATTATTATCTTTGATCGGCCATTTTAAAAAAAAATTATAGTTTCACAACATATAAATTATATATTATGAAAGTATTTCTCATAGTAATCTAAAAACATAAATCTTATAGCATGGTTCTATATAATTTTTTTGCGATCAATGGTGAAAGATACAAATATTTGACTTAGGGCAAAGCTAAAACTTTAAAATAGAGAGAGTAGTTATTAGTCCTAGTCCATTCCAAACTATAGACAAAATAAATAAAAAAATATTGACTCCTGTGCCCGCAAGGGATCATTAATTCTAAATTGATAGTCATTCTGGATTTTCTAGGTCTCTTTGTTTCAAATTATGCAATGAGATCATCTGAAGTCGGACATCGACTTGTCTCCGCAGTCAATCATCTGAGCCGTCTATTTCAGAACCAACCATTACTTCTGTGGAATTCTGGAAGCCAGCTATTCTCATAGGCCAACAGCTGGCCCATCAGCCCAAGGACGCGCCGTCGTTGTTGCAGATCGCCGGATGGGCACTCTCATCCCCGGCAAGCTGCCACGCGATGCTCAGTAACAGAGATGGGAGGAAAAGCTCTCCCGTGAGCGTTCGCGGGGGACGGGTACGGGGAGCTATCCCCGTATGGGAATTCTCCATTGACATCCTTAACCAAGAACCCTAATTTTGTGTTTGCATAATCATCTCTTGGACCGTTGTTTACTTGTTCACTTATTCTTGCACGTTCTTCAATTTATTTGTAGATTTATAAAATTGTCTTTGGCACGATAAGAACAACACCAAATTGGAGCTCATGTAACTGCCGTTATGGTCTTCCTACGTACTCTCTTCGTCGTAAGATGTTTGACTTTTTTGACTCTAAATTTGGCCACTCGTCTTATTTAAAAAATTTATGCAAACATAGTCAAATTTAAGTCATTCTTGAAGAACTTTTAGTAATAAACCAAGCCACGAGGAAAGAAGTGATATTTTGCACAAATTTTTAAATAAGACTACTGGTCAAACTTGATGTTAAAAAAGTCAAACGTCCTATAATTTAAGATGGATTGAGTATTCCGTACGGAGTGCCTTGCACCAACTGCTCGAGTAGTAGTACTAAGGCCTGGTTTAGTTCCTAAAAATTTTCATCCCAAACTATCATATCAAATCTTACGGCACATGCATGGAGTATTAAATATAGACGAAAAAAAACTAATTACACAGTTTGATTGAAAATCGCGAGACGCATGTTTTAAGACTAATTAGTCTATGATTAGCCATAAGTGCTACAGCAACTAACATGCGCTAATAATGGATTAATTAGGCTTAATAAATTCGTCTCGCAGTTTTAGATGAGCTATGTAATTAGTTTTTTTATTAATATTCGAAAACCCCTTCTAACATCTCCAAAACATCCGATGTGACATGAAAATTTTTTATTTCGCGAACTAAACAGGCAATACACGAACCAAATGATCCTAACCTTTGTCTGAAAGCAAGCTTCCCCGCTGGACTCGCCTTTCACTGCATTTAATTCGTCTCTGAACCCAAGCCGACGGCACGTCGCGTCATATGATCACAGATGGTTGAGCAAGTCCTGTCAAATGTTGATCATGGGCTAGGCGCTCAGCGCGGGGGCCACTCACGTGACCAAAGCCGGAGCTGCCATCAATCGCATCGTAGTCCAGCGCAGTGAAAGGGAGCAGGGCACCCGGAGCAGGGAGGCGACGGCGGCAGTTACGCTGCCTAGCTGCCGCCGATGCGCCGACAGGCTCTCTCTCTCAAGTCCCAATTGACGGCCGGGACGTCGGGACGGACGACGGCGGCCGGTTGCGGGGTTGGCTAATCGCCTGGCTGTCCAGACTGAAGTCCAGGACGACAACTGTTGCTTCTGCTCCTGTTGCGTTTGACCGTAATACGGCCGTTGCTTTGACAAGGAAGAGTGTGCGCTCCTCGTCCTCTGGATGGTGGATGCCATGGCTGCGGCTGCTCACGGGCTGGCGTGTCGTGATCACGTGCACATGGTAATGGTATGCGGTCTGGTTGTCGTAAACGATCGTAAATTTTCAGCCAGAATAGTATTTTTCTCTCATACCAAACCAGTCAGCAGTAATAATCCATGATCGTATACGATCGTATCAACACCAGCCGAACAGACGGATGGTTGCACTACACACACATTATGGACTATGGTGTACCCCTGTATCCTGATGCTTCTTTGTGTATCGTGTACTGCACTGCTACACCGTAACTCCGTAAGATGTACTAGCTGTGGCATGTGGACCTTTGGGATGGCGATTAGGACACGGCGAATTAATTGTGGGCTCAACAACGCTAGCCCTGAAGTGAGAACTTCATTTCACCTACTCTTTAATTAGTTCTGCTAAAAAAAAACTACTCTTCAATTGACAAATCGACTGGGGCTTTCAGTAAAACTTGCCGAAAGGCAATGGTCCTGGGCCTGCTATTACTGGGCCTCCTGGTGAATCAATGGAAGCCCAGTCTGATTCTTTCATTGCAAAACCAGCCCAACTGAGGTCGGAAAGCGAAACAAACAAGGGCAAATAAAAGCTCTCAACAAAATGAACCTCATCCGTGTTTGATCAAAAAAAAAAGAAGGGAACAAAAGCTCTCAACAAAATGAACCTCATCCGTGTTTGATATATATATATAAAAAGAAGGGAACAAACGAAGTCGCAAAGCATCACAAAGACTACTGACACGGAGTTCACTTCCTAAATTGCACATTAGCCGTAACTCAGCTTTTTTATCGACCTCATCTTAGCACGTTTTTCATTAAAAGAAAAATTAGCCATGACTCACTGACAAGAATCCTCAATTATGTCCCAAATCCAGGATAAATCACATCGAACATCTGTCCCAGAGATATGAAAGAGCATATCACCGCACAAGCCGAAAAGAAGCAACACCTATCCTAGATACCCTGCTCCATCTATACAGCCCACGACGGTGCAGTTCAGCTGTGCGAGTCACTCGACGCCCTCGGTGGATTTCTGCACCAGCACGACGCCCAGGGTGATGGCTGAGGCGTAGAGCACGTTGGGCATCTTGCGCACCACCTTGCCCACGCCGGGGACGCCCTCCGTCGCCCGCTTGGTCGCCAGCGCCAGCGCCGGCGCCGCCACCAGCGTGATCAGCAGCTTCACGCTGATCGTGCACAGCGAGTCCGCGGTCAGCTTCCGGATGAACTCCGCGAACTCCTCGCGGTCCAGGAGCCCGTCCAGGTTCACGTCGTACTCCTGCGCGTTGCAGAAACCAAGCCAGTGATAACCACACTCGATTCGACTCAAGAGCTATACCTGTAGCAGCTGAAGACGGGGATCTCGAGAAGGGGAAAATAGTTACTCCCAGTCTTCCACAACAAACCACTGACTTTGTGATTTTTCTAACATATAAACCAAGAACACTTTGCTTCCAGTTCAAGGAACAGCTGGAAGAACACGATACTCGATTTTTTTTTTATGAAAACACGATACTCGATTGGCCATACTGAAAACAACAAAAATTAAACGAAGGGGAAGGAAAGGGGAAGACTGTGATTACATCCATCATGGCCTTGAGCTTCTCCTTGGACGGGGGATCGTGGTGCGGCCCCGGCAAGTACTTGTTAATGTCACTGCCACCAGCAAGAACAACAATAACCAATCAGAAATAGATAAAAACTGCAGAGTATTCCAACACAGCACAGGACAGGATTCGCTCGGCTGTTCTACTTGTAGACGCAGAGGACGGCGATGTAGACCTCCTCGAATCTGAGGGCCTCCTTCTCGCGCTTCTGGGCGTCCTCCGTGAGCCGGTCGAACGCCTTGTCGGTGATCTTCCTCACCTGGTGCTCCTTCCACCGCCGCCCTGCAGGCACCGATTCGATTCGTCGTTCATCTCCACCAACTCGACCGCTCACGAGACTGGACCGACAATAAGATGCGAATCGAACGATGGGGTTAAGGGGCGGGTACCTTGGAGTTTATCTTGGAGATTGCCCCAGGCTTGCCCCATGGCCGACGGCGGAGAGCTGGATGCCTGGATGGGGCTCTGCAAAAGGGCAAGGGAAATAAAGGTAAGAGCATCTTCGAGAGTTTCCTACTTTTTTTTCTCCTTATAAACGTGTAGCTTGACAACTTTAAAAAAAATTTAAAGAAAAAAAAAAGATCATCAAGAGTTTCTAATAAATAGTATTAAAAAATCAAATTTGAATCCCATGTGAATTATGTTACGACTTTTTTTCTTTTCCATCACGGGAAAACGCGCCGAACCCTGAGACCGCGAGCTCCCTGCCGCCGCCGCCGCCGCCATCGTCCAGCCAGCCGCGGCAACCACCCTGCCGCCTGCCTGCAAGCGCCGTGGTGAGGACGTCGTTTCGACCTTTGCTACCGCTGGCAGGTAGTACAGTAGAAGCCAACAATAATCATGACGCTGGGCTGTTGCTTTGATGAACCCCACAGAAATCTGGCTCCATCTGCAAGGCGTTGCATGCTTTTGCTTTTCAGATGGGGTAGAGTCGTCGGGGTGAGTACCTGGATTTTGCGGCCGAGCTGGATGGGCGTGGCCCGCGCCTGGACGAGGTCGCCGAGGCGCGCGGGGCCGACGTGGTTGATGGACAGCTGCACCCCGGCCAGCCTCCGGTACCCCGACGCGACGCAGCAGCCGATGCTGGCCGTCGTCTCCGCCATCAGCGCCGACACGCCGCCGCCCATCGCTGACTCTTGCCTCTGTCCTTGTTCCTGTGTGGAGGCTGGAGGAGGAATGAAAAAGCTGGCGTGGCACAGACCGACAGACGTATACGACGTCCTCACCACGGCGCTCGAAGGATACGCTCCGCGGCACGTAAAGTTACGCGAAAATAGGTTTTTTTTTCTGACTCCTAAAATATGGAGATTATATCAGGAGAATGTTTAGGGAACGATCGGAGATGCTTTAAGTTGTGATTCTGGTTTAACGGATCCCTAATCTAATCGTGTGGACTGTGTCCATCTTCCCGTGAGAATTTGGAGGTTACTCAAAGTGTGTGCTATGGGTACCCGATTTCTTGTACGCAGAGCTGACGTTCTGAACCCAACTCACGTACCGCATTAACGGGCGAAAGCCTAGCTTTGGTAATCGACCAATTCGAGTTTCCATTTCTTCATTTTGAATCTGGGCTATGAGGAGTTACTCGGAATGCTGCTAAGATATCAGTATCCTTGGTAATACGTGTATTTGGGAGTCCTTGTAATTTAAATAAACCAAGATCTTACCATTATTGCAATTTTAGAGAGACGGCTCTCTTTTTAGGGAGAAATGCAAAACAAAGAAAAGTGGACCCAACCGTACGTTGTGATGGCAGACTATATTCTTTTCCTTTCGGGGTTGAAGATAGAAAAATGCTAGAGAGGGTCTTGTACTCTCGTCTCAACCAAGTGTGATATTCTTACCTTTCTTTTCTACCGGTGGAGCAATCCCCTTTATCCAAAATCCAATCCAGGGGCGGATTCAAAGGGGGTCTACCGGGGCTATAGCTCTCTAGTAAACCTGATTTCTTCATTAGACTATGATTACTTAGCCTCAAATTATTATTAATCTCTAGCTCTATCCCTAAATCTTTATTATTTAGCCCCTTTGTCCCCATCCTACATCCGCCACTAATCCAATCCTATATATACTAGTGGATGTGGATTTTATCTCTTTTTTTAGTTTTTTTTTCTATCTTCCTAATACATACTGTATTTGAGTGCCGGTCTCTGCTACTCATCATATTGGATTTTTATCAGTATATTATCTAGAGCTCTCATTTTTTTCTTGTGATGGTGATGCCATACGACTATACGAGTAACACTTGGCACCTTGAGTTGTTCTCTTCCTTCAGTCTCCGACACTTCCCATTAGGAGAGTGAGTTTCCTTGCCTTGGTGGCCTGGTCTGTCCCTAAATTTAGTTTGGCAAGTGTTCGCCCGGAGCGAACGTTACTCTATCTGCGGACGACACGTGATGGCTCGTCCATGCTTCAAGCCACTTGCGGTGATTAGCCCTGGCCGTTTGACCCATGTGGTTTTCATTCCACAATTTCTATGCAGGTCTTGTTTAGATTACAAGTTTTTTCACTTTTTTTTCATCATATCAAATCTTTAGACACATACATGGAGTATTAAATGTAGATAAAAAAAACTAATTACACAGTTTGATTGTAAATTACGAGACAAATCTTTTGAGCCTAGTTAGGCCATGATTGGACAATAATTATCAAATACAAACGAAAGTGCTACAGTGCCAAATACTGATTCCTAACCCCAATCTAAACAAAGCCGTAGGACGTGTTCGAGTGGTTTTTTTGTTGCGGTATTTACCGACATGTGTTCTTCATTTTGCTTTCACTTTCACGTATACATGAGCTGCAACAGATGGTGATTTTATCTTCTTGTATCTACTGTTCCTCCTGTAGCTTGGTATTTTCTTTCTTTTCTCCATTTCTCATACCTAATACATATTTCAGTTTGAAAGAAATGTAAATTGTAGCCTTCGGTTCTCAGAGTAAAAGAGTCATTTCGCGCATAACTTAACACCGGTAGCCCATCAAACTAACGGAAGGACAAAAAAACCAAAGAAAATTCGTTTTAGGATCAAATAAGTAAGTTCGAGAAAAAATGGACCAAGAAATTAAGCATCACTTTGTGGCAGAACCGCCCGAAATAACACGTTTACGGAGGTGCTCGTCTTCCACCAGACACTAAGCACCACGAAAGCAAGATACAACGGACGGTATCCGTCGGGCACACCCCAAGAGAGAACCCGAAAGATCCACATTTTTCCCAAGAATCCAATAATAAGAACGAATTACAATACTGGTCCATTTCATACTCCCGCGCGCGCACTTGCGCAGCGCACCGGCGTGGCCCAGCTTGGCACATCCCACGCGCGCCAGCGGCCCACGGGGGAAAAGACCCGTGCGCGCGCCACATCATGCAAAAGAGCCATCGGATTCCCATCAAATAGCAACGCAGTCCATTCCACTATTCCCTCCTCTCACTGACTCTAACACTTAGCCCCTTGGTTTACTTCAAATTCACGTCGCGACGTCCCTGGCCGGACTTAACAGAGCTGCGACCTCACCGGCCAAACGCCGGCGAGCACCGACCACTCCGGGACACACCAACATCCCCACCTCGTGGCTCGCGCAACGGATTGAGGAAACACACGCCCAGAATGGCGCACCACGCAGGCGTGGCCACGTGTCGTGGCGTTGTCTGGCTGCGGTAGCCCGATGCCGACGAAACCACCTATTTGAACGCCTCTACTACTACTCGGTGACCATCTACAGGCTACGTTAAACAATGTAAAAGTCCTAATTGGTCCGCTGCTACCTTCAAACGCGTCGGCCACGGAAACAACATCTACCTACGTCCGCCGAGGACGGCTACGCGCTCCGGCGAACCCCGGCCCTAATTGAGTCAACCAGCTACCCTAGGAGCAAGAGGATCTCACCAGCGGTGTGACGGACGGACTGGGCGAAGGCACGAGGCTTGGCAATACGGTCGGCCACGAACACGGGGTGACTCTGGTTCCCAGCGAGCACAACGATGGCGTCTTTGGTGACCCGTGGCTCCACTGGCGAAACCACTGCACGAGCACGATAACCAAGTCAACTATTACTCTAGGCACATCTTAATTGAAACGACGAAGCATCACACGATGCTCTGGCCATGCGCCCGCTCTGGTGGCCATGCGGACCGCCGCGAGGGGAACGCCCCGCCTCACCTCACTGTAGGCCGAACGAACGTCGGGATGACTTCACTTGACAGCTAACTACCCGAGCTCGTAGTGTGCACCGCTAATTGGAAAACGGTGGAGTGTGTGAGGCCAATTGTAGGAGCGTCGCCTATGGACTTATGGCGTCCGGCGACGGCAGAATTTCAAATTGGCGCCCCTCCCTTGTACCACCGCCATAGTGGCCAATTTGGCACGACGCTGTCCTTCCACTCGACCACCAAATGTGCTCGGTACAAAGAAAGGGGTCCAACGCTCGATTCGGCTTTGGCGTGGTTCGACCGGTCCGCGACCTTCCAAGCGATGTGACTGGCACCTTTGGCATGGCCTCCAGCACAAGCATGAGGACGAGGCAAGCAGGGCGATCCCACGAGTGCATAACATTTGTTTCTTGTTTTGGATGAACGTTTCAGGTGCCGTACATTGATTTATACTTTATGTTACACACATTTACACATAAGTACGATGCTCATGCAGTGTGTTAGCAAAAAGCTGTACAATGTAACACTGAGGGTGCTACAAATCTACCCCCCCTAAAACAAAATCTTGACCCGAGATTTCATGTGCCTAGTGTGAGAAGGAGATAGGAAATACATTTCAACGTACAACTACTCCTCAGAACCAGAGAGAAGGTGGGGATAATGCTTCAAGATGTAGCTCTCTTGTTCCCATGTGGCCTCATCCTCTGAATGGTTTTGCCATTGCACTTTGTAAAATTTTACCACACTGCTCCTGGTTACTCTTTCTTTCTCATCCAAGATTTTTATAGGGTGCTCAACATAAGTTAAATCTGGCTGGAGAGGAAGTCCTTTAATTTCCACAGCTTCATCAGGAACCCGCAAACATTTCTTCAGTTGTGATACATGGAACACATTGTGTACTGTAGATAGAATATCAGGAAGCTATAGATGGTAAGCAACTGGGCTACACTGCTTCAAGACCTTGTAAGGACCCACATAGCGAGGGGCTAGCTTGCCATGGATACCAAACCGATGCACCCCTCTCATAGGAGACACCTTACGGTACACATAATCCTCAACTTCAAACTCCAAAGGCTTTCTTCGCTTGTCTGCATAGGCTTTCTGTCGGCTCTGAGCTGCCTTCAAATGACTCCGAATAAGAACGACTTGCTCATGAGCCTCCTTAATGAAATCTGGCCCAAAGTATCCATGGTCTCCCACTTCAACCCAATTGAGTGGTGTCCTACACTTCCTTCCATATAGAGCTTCAAAGGGTGCCATGCGGATGCTTTCTTGGTAGCTATTATTGTAAGAGAATTCTGATAGCTTCAAGCAGGCATCCCACTTCTCAGGGAAAGAAATGGCACAAGCTCTTAACATATCTTCGAGCACTTGATTTACCCTTTCGGTTTGGCCATCAGTCTGGGGGTGATAGGCTGAACTGCGGAGGAGACTAGTTCCAAGACACTCCTAGAGTTGCTCCCAGAAATGAGAGACAAAAATTGATCCCCTATTAGAGATGATAGTGAGGGGAACTCCGTGTAGAGTCACAATCCGGTCCAGGTACAACTCGGCATATTGTTTGGCAGAGTATTTAGAATTCACTGGGAGGAAATGAGCGGACTTAGTGAGGCAATCCACAATGACCCAGATAGAGTTATAGCCCTTGGTTGTGCGGGGTAAACCCACAATGAAATCCATGGAAATATCTTTCCACTTCCAAACGGGAATGGGCAAGGGCTACAAATATCCTAGGGTGCGCATATGATTTGCTTTAACCCTACCACAAATGTCGCACTCCGCGATGTGTCGGGGGATGTCCTGCTTCATGTTGGACCACTAGTACAAGTGACGTAGATCATGATACATCTTGTTACTACCAGGGTGAATAGATAGCTTTGAATGGTGGGCTTCACTCAAAATCTTCCTTCTCAACTCCTCACTGAATGGAACCACCGGCCTATCCTTGTATCTTACTACACCACGCTCATCAACGCT